TTTAGTCTAAGTTAATACCCCAATAATGATCTTGAGGAGGGGTCTGTAAAGAATATACCTTATGCGAGTGTTGTTGACAATTTAATGTATACACAAGTTTGTAGCAGGCCTGACATTGCTTTTGCTGTTAGTGTTCTTGACAGATATCTTTCTAAACCAGGATTAGATCATTGAGTGAAAGCTAAGAAAGTTATGAGACACTTGCAAAGAACAAAAAATTACATGCTAGTTTATAGGAGAGTTGATAGTCTTGAGATGATTGGTTACTCAGATTTAGATTTTGCTGAGTATCAGGATGATTTAAAATTCACTTCAGGATATATTTTCATATTAGCTGAAGGAGCAATAGCATGGAAGAATGTTAAACAAACTCTCACAGCTTCTTCCACTATGCAAGTTAAATTTGTAGTTTGTTATGGAGCTGCAACACAAGCTATATGGCTAAGAAATTTTATTTCAGGACTTATGATTATTGATTCTATCTCTAGACCATTAACAATGGATTGTGATAATAGTGCAATTGTGTTCTTCTCAAAGAACAACAAACATCCTAGTGGCTCTAAATATATGAAAATTAAATATTTTTTCTATTAGAGATCTTGTGAAGAAATGTGACATTGTGATCGAACATATTGATATAGAATCAATGCTTGCTGATCCTTTAACTAAGGAACTGATACGTGTAACTTTTAAGAAACATGTTGACAATATGGACATTTTGGGTCTTTTGATGTACTTGGTTAGTGGGAGTTTGTTTATGTGATATTTGATACTCATTATAGTTGAGATATATCTATTTGATGAATAATAAATATATAGATGATTATCCTTATTGTTAACACGGTATTATTGTTATGTTATATGTGTGCACATTTATGACATGTCAATTTATACAAAATCTTAAAGTTTGGTGTATGTCTTAAGTATGACTGTTTTACCAATGGAGTACGTCTTTAATTACACCATTTGAGAAAATCTTGAGATTTTAAGTTGGAGACATACTAGCTTATTGTTAAAGCTGATAGATTTCTCTAATTAATTGTTGAAACATATTGTTAAAGAGAAATTATTTGAATGACTAACAATGAAAATAACATGTTTATCTGATTACATATTGAGATGTTATTTTCTTGTTACACTACCACATCTTGATTCATATCAATAGGATTATTATTTTTGTAATCATGGATTGGTCCAATGTCAATAAAAGATGGAAAACCCGCCATGACTGAAAAATAGTAGTTTTATTGGATCAGGTCGTGTTTGAAATGTTGTTTCAAGACCATACTTTTATTGTGCCCACATTAAGTTTTCTTTGATTAGTTCGAGAGTCATTTTTCAAACAAATAATTTTATTTTATTTTTTAAATGGCTACAATTAATGTTGTCCAAGTGGGAGAATGTTAAAAATTTTTCCATATTAGACTTCTATTAATTAATAGTTAATTTTTTGTTTGTAAAAAATAGGCTGGATTTATGGTCCAATGAGATGAGCCCAATATTATTAAGTGATCTATTTTGATGGGCTTATTTACATCTTTTTAATTGATGTGGTTGAGACGGTTAGGTGTAGATCTTAATCTAATTATGGTCCATAATAGGAGAACCCATTAGATTTCATTATAATAACAGGTTATGTCCCATCTCCACTTTATAACCCTAATTTGGCTTGTCCCATTGAAAGTTGTTTATTGCTCTGAAGGAAAAAAGGAAGACCTTGCCCTTCTGTGAAAGAAATTCAGAGATTGAGTATCATGGCTCATACAGGTATATTCTAAACTCTGTAATTTAAGTGTTCTAAATTTTATATACAAATTATTAAAATTTCTTATATTAAATTCATAGTTTTATTAATTAATTCGTGTAAGTACCGGTAGAGGCCAAACACTTGTAAGAGTCGAGGGAAAAATTTTGTTCGAGCTTATAGATTCAAATTTTGTGAAGACTTGGAGATTATTAAAGCCTGCTTTAAGGTTACAAAAATATCCATCTATGAAATAGACCAGCAACCTAATAGTTTGACTTGGTGCCTTATCCCTGCATCAAATAGACCATCAACCTAACACTTCCCTGCATTCCAATTATACAACCACTCTAAATTGTAACCAGTTGTGCATATCATATGTCATCAGAAACATTTTTTTTTTCCAAAATATTTTTTTCTTATTGTCTTAATTTTTTTCACATCAGTTAAACATGAACTTTTCTACATGTATCTGAGTTTTCAGACATTCTCATGTTTATAAGGTTCTTGTCAAGGGTAACTTTACGCATGATTTATATAGTTTAGTGTAAGATATTGGTATCACGTGGAGTATAGAATCGAAAAAATATGAACCGTAACAATGTGACTATGTGATTGTTGTCGTAAAAGGGCGATCAATATGCTAAATTAATATTAGTGGTAAACTTTGTGAGAAAGGATCATCATGCCAAACCAATACCAATAGAGTGGATCAGACCTATATTGACTTCAATTACGAAAGCGTTGCATTATGGAATGATTCTAATTGTTTCAAGTTGATTAACTATGTGAGTTTGGCTTTATATGTATGAGTTTATATATACTCTTTTCTTATAAGTCGATTATTAAAAGTGTGTTGGAAGATATCGCCTTCAACGTGTACCAATGGCGAAGACTGAACCACTTGAAACACAATTTTGATTACTAAATTTGTATTTTGTGTTAGTTTGGTCATAATCTTTTAATTGTGTCAATTTAATCTCGCAAGTATTTAATTTGTGTCAGTTTAGTGTAAATTACGATTCGAATGGACTAATAGAGATACACATGTACATGAATTGAAGGACAGTCTAAAAACTTAAGAGATTAAAAAAACACAAATTACAACTGTGACGGGTCAAAATGACAAGACTAGAAACTTAAAGAATCAAAGTAATCCCTTAAATTTAACCGCATGAGACATATGTGAGTACTTATGTTAATCAATTTTAATTGTTATTTTTAATTGGATCAAAATAATATAAATCATAAATTTAGAAGATTAAATTGACACAATTGAAGGATTAAATATCAATTAACAATATATATATATAATTTAGAGACAATATATATATATATATATATATATATATATATATATATATATATATATATATATATATATATATANTATATATATATATATATATATATATATATATATATATATATTGTTATTTTTGCATATTTTTATTCTCTTTCTTTTTTATTCCTTACAACAAGTGGGCTAATTTGTAATTTGTGTTAAAAAAGAAGTGCAATTAGAGACAAGGCAAAGTATCACCGACGACAACTTAAGTTGGGTCGGAGGAGAGCAACCAACTACAACCGGTAAAGTTTGAAGTACAGGTTGTTAACAGCACAAAATATGTAAATTGTTGCTAGTTAAGTGCTTGTAAGAGTAAAGGGTCGGTACGTGTCTGACGTTGACTGTCAACCAATGGGTTACGGCCACATCATCGGATTGGTAAAAAAGTCAACAAATTGTTATGGCGTCATAATATTAGTAGCTCCGGGACATTCTAACTCGGCTTCTCTGTTGTTAGCCGGACGGACTGAGCCTAAAGTCGTCAAATTTTTCATACTTTATTTAATACGATAGAAAAATAAAAAAATAAAATTTGACAAACTAGATAAAATATCATATTCGATAAGAATTATTTTTTGAAAATGTGAAAAATGGATTGATTAGAATTTTTAAAATTCCTAAAATTGAAAGTAAAATTTTATATACCACTACAATAAGTTTTTTAATTCTACTATAGATATAATTTTTATGGTATATAACGTTAATTAAAAAAAGTGCATGTTTATTATTTTTGTATTCAATATGACAAAGAAGAGAGAAATGGTTCGTTAGATAGAGTGGATGGAAAAATAGAAAGTACGAGAGTGATACACTTTTTATCTTTCAAAAAATGAATCATTTCCCTCTTTTGTATTTGATAAGAGGAATGAAAAGTAAAAATGATTAATTTTTTGTGTTTGATAAAATAATTTAATATATATATATATATATATATATATATATATATTGTACCATTATATCAATATATAAAATTAATTTATACATAATATGCAATTGATAAAAATATATGTATATATTAAATGATATTAGATAAATTACATTCATTTCAACATACATAGTTAACTTTTTGTCCACTTTTCTTCTCAATTTTAGAGGGATTGATTTTGGTGAATTAGTTAAAAAACTAATTCATCTACTTTTTAATCTTCCTATTTTTCTTCCTTTTCAAACATGATATTTTTTCTATCTCTCAAATTTTACATCCTTTCAACTTTTCTTCGTACCAAACAAAGTATAAATTTGAGTCTTCAAATATGAAGAGTCAAACTAAACTTCCTAATTTGAATTTTAGAATTAGAAAGTTTATTAGAGTTGAATCGCTCTCAATTTCTTAGTAAAATAAAAGTAATGTTATGCATATTAAAATTTTTATTTCAATTGATGTCACATATTTTTTATTATTAAATATTAATAAAATTCACGATAAAAATTATATTATATCATTTAAGATGAAATAAAGAGTTGAGTAGAAAGATTGGCCCACCCAATCAGAATATAGAGGTGTCCACAATTCATCCCACAACCCAAAGTCACAGTCAAAGCCACAGCCACAGCCAAAGCCTAGCTGCGGTTGGTCCGTGCCACAGGTTCAGCCGGTAAAGAATTCTTACGTTGGATTAGAGAAAACAATGCCCGATAAAATAATTGCACAAGAAAGTGATAGAAAGACAAAAGCTTATATAGAAGTGAGAGAGAGAGAGAGAGAGAGAGAGAGAGAGAGTGAGAGCAATGGCCTATTGATTGGGTGAAGAATCAGACATGTCCATCTTCACATTTTGCTCAAATTCACTCTCCATTTGAGCAGAAACGTGTCTCTTACAGTCCCTGATTTTTTTTTTAAAGATCTGTTCATAAACCCATAAATTTATAAACGTTTTTACATTATAATCCTCTGTTTCTTGGAGAGAAATGGAGGGAAGTGTTGGAATGCTGGCTGGATCTCACAAGAGGAACGAGTTTGTTCGAATTCGGCACGATTCGGATAGTGGGGTATGGATTTTGGAGATACCCATTTGGATTTTGAGTTTATAATTGTTTGATTTATTTATTATTGGTGGGTTTAGATCTGAGTGTGTTCTTGTGTTGAACTGAATTTTGGGCTCAAGTTCGGTTTTTTGGATTGAATCTGGATGTCGCCATGTGGGTACTGGTTGATTTTGATTCTAAGTCCAAAGTTGGCTTTTGTTAGCATTTTCTTCAGTTTCTGCTTTAAATGTTGTGTCATTGTGTGTAAATCTGAGTGTTGGTTGTAGTAATATAGGTTTTTTATGGAATAATGAAATGGGTACGGGTTAATTTTGATTTTGACTCTTGAATTTGTTGAATTGAGGGCTTCTCTTTTCATTTATTTGGTTAGCATTTCCAGATTTGGATGTGAGATAGCTGTATGATAGTGAGATTTGAGCTCAAAGTTAGAGTTATTTTTTTCTTTCTTCTTTCTTAATGGAAAGAAAAGCAATTGAATTTGGTGATTTTACGGTTGAGGTTCAAATTTGGTTTTCTTGGAGCTCTGATCTTGTGGAAACTGTTTGTTTATGACGTGATTTTAGTGTTTACTATAAAATATAGCCTCTTTTTCCGTGAGTTTTTTTAAAGTCTACTTTTCTCTTCAAATATGACTGTTAATATGCCAAAAAAGCTGAGGTTTTGATGATTGGATCTAGTTTCAATGTGCCTTTTTCCCAATCTATTTACTGATTTTAGCTGAAATCTTGATAATTTAGTTCATCGAGTTATTGCCTTTACTGGGGAATCTGAACTATATCCGCTATCATCTAAGCAAGATTGTCACTTTCCTTCTCTGTCTCTTATCTTTGCGTTTTCTGAGATCTGCTTACACCTCTGCATATTGCTATGAATTAGTTTGAGATCAGTGGCTGTTTGCAACAGGGGTTTGTGTTGTTCGNCAAATTCACTCTCCATTTGAGCAGAAACGTGTCTCTTACAGTCCCTGATTTTTTTTTTAAAGATCTGTTCATAAACCCATAAATTTATAAACGTTTTTACATTATAATCCTCTGTTTCTTGGAGAGAAATGGAGGCAAGTGTTGGAATGCTGGCTGGATCTCACAAGAGGAACGAGTTTGTTCGAATTCGGCACAATTCGGATAGTGGGGTATGGATTTTGGAGATACCCATTTGGATTTTGAGTTTATAATTGTTTGATTTATTTATTATTGGTGGGTTTAGATCTGAGTGTGTTCTTGTGTTGAACTGAATTTTGGGCTCAAGTTCGGTTTTTTGGATTGAATCTGGATGTCGCCATGTGGGTACTGGTTGATTTTGATTCTAAGTCCAAAGTTGGCTTTTGTTAGCATTTTCTTCAGTTTCTGCTTTAAATGTTGTGTCATTGTGTGTAAATCTGAGTGTTGGTTGTAGTAATATAGGTTTTTTATGGAATAATGAAATGGGTACGGGTTAATTTTGATTTTGACTCTTGAATTTGTTGAATTGAGGGCTTCTCTTTTCATTTATTTGGTTAGCATTTCCAGATTTGGATGTGAGATAGCTGTATGATAGTGAGATTTGAGCTCAAAGTTAGAGTTATTTTTTTCTTTCTTCTTTCTTAATGGAAAGAAAAGCAATTGAATTTGGTGATTTTACGGTTGAGGTTCAAATTTGGTTTTCTTGGAGCTCTGATCTTGTGGAAACTGTTTGTTTATGACGTGATTTTAGTGTTTACTATAAAATATAGCCTCTTTTTCCGTGAGTTTTTTTAAAGTCTACTTTTCTCTTCAAATATGACTGTTAATATGCCAAAAAAGCTGAGGTTTTGATGATTGGATCTAGTTTCAATGTGCCTTTTTCCCAATCTATTTACTGATTTTAGCTGAAATCTTGATAATTTAGTTCATCGAGTTATTGCCTTTACTGGGGAATCTGAACTGTATCCGCTATCATCTAAGCAAGATTGTCACTTTCCTTCTCTGTCTCTTATCTTTGCGTTTTCTGAGATCTGCTTACACCTCTGCATATTGCTATGAATTAGTTTGAGATCAGTGGCTGTTTGCAACAGGGGTTTGTGTTGTTCGAGTTTTAAGGTTATTCACTAAATATGGTAGATGAGAAATTAGGCTGGGTTGACTTAATTGTAATGCTTTCACCCCTTTTCAGCTACTTAGTTGCATTGTATAGAGGTTTCAGAGGTGGAGTGTTCTAGGGTGCATGCAAAACCAATATTAGTAAGCAATTTAAAAAATTTCATCTGGATAAATTGAGGGTGGGCGTAAGTAAATGGGCCAGTCATTGCCCCTCTTATAGATTGCTCAGTTTCTGAATATGGCGCTTGATAAGATCTTGAGCAAAGCTTGGTTGCAGTTTGTGTGTCTATTTTAGGTAATGTTCTACTCTGTCACACTAACTTAGTGCATTGCTTCTATTTTGCAGCCCAAGCCGATGAAGCATTTGAATGGACAGATATGTCAGATTTGTGGAGATACTGTTGGATTTACTGCTACTGGTGATGTATTTGTTGCCTGCAATGAGTGTGCCTTCCCAGTTTGCCGGCCTTGCTATGAGTACGAGCGGAAAGNCTGCTTTAAATGTTGTGTCATTGTGTGTAAATCTGAGTGTTGGTTGTAGTAATATAGGTTTTTTATGGAATAATGAAATGGGTACGGGTTAATTTTGATTTTGACTCTTGAATTTGTTGAATTGAGGGNTATTTGTTGCCTGCAATGAGTGTGCCTTCCCAGTTTGCCGGCCTTGCTATGAGTACGAGCGGAAAGATGGAAATCAGTTCTGTCCCCAGTGCAAGACTAGATACAAAAGACAGAAAGGTTATCTTGATTTTAAAATTGGCTCTTGATCCTCCTGTCTCATAATTTTGTCTTATAAACATTTGGGATTTGGAAATGAAGTAATTAAATGTGTAAATTTCAGGAAGTCCTCGAGTTGAAGGTGATGATGATGAAGATGATGTTGATGACCTGGAGAATGAGTTTAATTATGCTCAAGGAAACAGGAAAGCCAGACAGTGGCAGGGAGAAGATGCTGACCTCTCTTCATCCTCTAGGCATGAACCTCAGCAACCGATTCCCCTTCTTACAAATGGGCAGCCAGTAAGTGATAAAAACTATGATGTTTTTATTCAAGGATTATTGTGTGTTTTGTTATCTGGACATGCTTCTGAATGATGCTATTTTCCTTTTAAATTTTGCCACCTTCTCTATTGTTTGGTGTTCGAATGATATTGCATTTGGCTTTTCTCAGTTTTGCTTTCTTTGTTTCTAGTCCCAACAAATGTGCTAGAATCTTGCACCTTTCTTGAAAACTTGGGTTCTTAAGTTTGAATTGCAGTATGACCTCTGAAGTTAGAATGATCATTGATTCTAAGCAATGCATGATTTAGAGCCCATTGGATGTGTTCTTTGAACAGTTTTTTGTATTTGAAAATTAGTTGCTGCATGGTCCAGTCCAATTGGTTTACCTGGCTTGATTCGAAAGGATTTTGTATTGGAAATATCATATTTAGTCACTGAGAATTGGTCAACTTCCGAAAACAGCTACTTGGTAGGAGCATTACCGCAATGGGTATTTACGTACAATTCTGCAAAAACTCCCTTTCATTTGTAGTTGGGAACGATATTATTTTTTTATCAAGTTTCCTTTTGTGATTAACTCATGACAATGACAAGCAGTTTTGTTCAAGATTTCAATTTCATTTAATACCACAAATTCATGCAATCATTCCTGGAAAGTCTTTCAGTTTTAAAACTTTTTGCCGATCATCTTGCCAAAAATTTCAGGTATCTGGTGAAATTCCCATTGCTACACCGGACACGCAATCTGTACGAAGTACCTCAGGTCCTTTGGGCCCTAGCGACAAGCATGTTCACTCACTTCAATATATCGATCCAAGGCAGCCAGGTACACCCCTAATTTGAATCTCTTGATTGAAAATCGTCCAATGATTTTATCTTTTCAATTGAGATTCATTTGATCATGCCACATTTCTGGGCAGCNCGCAGGGCCATGAAGGTACGAGATTAGTTGAGTGATGATGGTTCTTGTGTGTTGGATAAGCATGCTGAATATACTCTTTGAAGGTTGCTAGTTGTACTTTAAGCATGATATGTTAAATTCAGAACTTAATTGGAAGCGGTTAATACTTTGCATTGCAATCAAAAACTCATCCATAATTCTATAGAAATGAGGTGTAAAAAAAAAAATAAAGCAAAAAAAAATTTAAGAGTAAAGATATTGAGCCGNGAAGGAAAGGGTAGAAGGTTGGAAAATGAAACAGGAGAAAAATATGATGCAAATGACCAACAGAAACAGTGAAGGGAAAGGAGACATTGAAGGCACAGGGTCAAATGGAGAAGAATTGCAAATGTGAGCATCTTACTCATGAAGTTTCTCTAGATTTTGGGTAAATTGCCTATTAAAAATGTCACAGATGAAAAAATTTGTCACAGATGAGTGAAGACATATTTGAATTCGCAATGAGAATGCAATTATTTGGTGGGAGCCCCGTCCACTGGGTTGCCTTTTTTTTTATCTCACAGATGAGTGAAGACATGTTTCAAAGCACATGAGAATGCAACTATTTGTTGGGAGCCTCTTTGACTAGGCTTCCCTTTTTTTTCAACTTGCTTCTGGGAGGCGTATAATTTTACCCAAGAAAATTTGAAATGAATCTAATGTATTCCATTATTTTGGTGGGTCATGCATTAGGGTGGGTTTAGAATATGAGTAAATGATACATCATTGGTATTTGTTATTAACTTGATAATTATTTACAACTCAACAATATAGGTTACTATCGTTTTGCCAACTTCATTGCTCATTTTTTATTGCTTAGTATTGCTATGGGATTTTACCATCACGTGTTGTGGAAGGAAAAAAATGGAATATTATTTTGTCAAGTAACCATAATTTCTAAACATATCTCCAGAATATTGATAGGTTCTTTGTGTCAGGGCTGATGATGCTCGCCAACCTTTGAGCCGTGTGGTGCCTATTTCTTCTTCCCACCTAACCCCTTACCGTGTAATAATCATACTTCGGTTGGTTATCTTGGGCTTTTTCTTGCAATACCGGTGTACTCATCCAGTGAATGATGCTTATCCCTTGTGGCTGACATCAGTAATTTGTGAGGTTTGGTTTGCATTCTCGTGGCTTCTGGATCAGTTTCCAAAGTGGTTTCCCATCAATCGCGAGACCTATCTGGACAGGCTTGCGTTAAGGTCGGTGGATTTATTTTAGTTGCAAAACACCCCACATGTAGTTGTTATGGGTTTCTATTCTACAGAGATCTCTGTGGGATTGGTTTCATTGCCAAATTATTTATTATTTCTACTTTTCCAGATATGATAGGGAAGGTGAGCCTTCTCAGTTAGCACCGATTGATGTATTTGTCAGTACAGTGGATCCCCTGAAAGAGCCTCCTCTGGTTACTGCCAACACTGTATTGTCCATCCTTGCCGTGGATTACCCTGTCGACAAAGTCTCATGTTATGTTTCAGATGATGGTTCAGCAATGTTAACTTTTGAAGCCCTCTCTGAGACGGCAGAGTTTGCAAGGAAATGGGTGCCCTTCTGCAAGAAGCACAACATTGAGCCTAGAGCCCCTGAATTCTATTTTGCTCAGAAGATAGATTATCTGAAGGACAAGATACAGCCTTCTTTTGTGAAAGAGCGCAGGGCCATGAAGGTACGAGATTAGTTGAGTGATGATGGTTCTTGTGTGTTGGATAAGCATGCTGAATATACTCTTTGAAGGTTGCTAGTTGTACTTTAAGCATGATATGTTAAATTCAGAACTTAATTGGAAGCGGTTAATACTTTGCATTGCAATCAAAAACTCATCCATAATTCTATAGAAATGAGGTGTAAAAAAAAAAATAAAGCAAAAAAAAATTTAAGAGTAAAGATATTGAGCCCTTTTAGATTTTGCTATTATTTTTATTGAATAACAAGATTCCTTAATACGGACATGGTCCTCCGGAGGTGGAGCCAAAGTGGTGTAATGTCCTTGTGATTCATAAGCTTTGTTTCCAAACTGCTTCAGTGTGGTTTCATTATTTACTATTGAGTTAAGTCATGAAGTTATTGGGGTCATTAAAGGAGTACTGTAGCTTTTGTTGTGTCGTTAAAAGGAATTCAGTTCTGANAGCCTCTTTGACTAGGCTTCCCTTTTTTTTCAACTTGCTTCTGGGAGGCGTATAATTTTACCCAAGAAAATTTGAAATGAATCTAATGTATTCCATTATTTTGGTGGGTCATGCATTAGGGTGGGTTTAGAATATGAGTAAATGATACATCATTGGTATTTGTTATTAACTTGATATTTATTTACAACTCAACAATATAGGTTACTATCGTTTTGCCAACTTCATTGCTCATTTTTTATTGCTTAGTATTGCTATGGGATTTTACCATCACGTGTTGTGGAAGGAAAAAAATGGAATATTATTTTGTCAAGTAACCATAATTTCTAAACATATCTCCAGAATATTGATAGGTTCTTTGTGTCAGGGCTGATGATGCTCGCCAACCTTTGAGCCGTGTGGTGCCTATTTCTTCTTCCCACCTAACCCCTTACCGTGTAATAATCATACTTCGGTTGGTTATCTTGGGCTTTTTCTTGCAATACCGGTGTACTCATCCAGTGAATGATGCTTATCCCTTGTGGCTGACATCAGTAATTTGTGAGGTTTGGTTTGCATTCTCGTGGCTTCTGGATCAGTTTCCAAAGTGGTTTCCCATCAATCGCGAGACCTATCTGGACAGGCTTGCGTTAAGGTCGGTGGATTTATTTTAGTTGCAAAACACCCCACATGTAGTTGTTATGGGTTTCTATTCTACAGAGATCTCTGTGGGATTGGTTTCATTGCCAAATTATTTATTATTTCTACTTTTCCAGATATGATAGGGAAGGTGAGCCTTCTCAGTTAGCACCGATTGATGTATTTGTCAGTACAGTGGATCCCCTGAAAGAGCCTCCTCTGGTTACTGCCAACACTGTATTGTCCATCCTTGCCGTGGATTACCCTGTCGACAAAGTCTCATGTTACGTTTCAGATGATGGTTCAGCAATGTTAACTTTTGAAGCCCTCTCTGAGACGGCAGAGTTTGCAAGGAAATGGGTGCCCTTCTGCAAGAAGCACAACATTGAGCCTAGAGCCCCTGAATTCTATTTTGCTCAGAAGATAGATTATCTGAAGGACAAGATACAGCCTTCTTTTGTGAAAGAGCGCAGGGCCATGAAGGTACGAGATTAGTTGAGTGATGATGGTTCTTGTGTGTTGGATAAGCATGCTGAATATACTCTTTGAAGGTTGCTAGTTGTACTTTAAGCATGATATGTTAAATTCAGAACTTAATTGGAAGCGGTTAATACTTTGCATTGCAATCAAAAACTCATCCATAATTCTATAGAAATGAGGTGTAAAAAAAAAAATAAAGCAAAAAAAAATTTAAGAGTAAAGATATTGAGCCCTTTTAGATTTTGCTATTATTTTTATTGAATAACAAGATTCCTTAATACGGACATGGTCCTCCGGAGGTGGAGCCAAAGTGGTGTAATGTCCTTGTGATTCATAAGCTTTGTTTCCAAACTGCTTCAGTGTGGTTTCATTATTTACTATTGAGTTAAGTCATGAAGTTATTGGGGTCATTAAAGGAGTACTGTAGCTTTTGTTGTGTCGTTAAAAGGAATTCAGTTCTGAGCAATTTCAAAATCCTCAGGCATTGTCCATAAATTTATTAAATGCTGTGGCAACATTTGATTTTCTTTCTTTAAACTAAAAGCAAGGTAAACTTCTTGTTCCACAGAGAGAATACGAAGAATTCAAGGTACGAATCAATGCACTTGTTGCTAAAGCACAAAAGATGCCTGAAGAGGGCTGGACGATGCAAGATGGAACTCCTTGGCCCGGAAATAACCCAAGGGATCATCCAGGAATGATCCAGGTATTGTGGATGTTATTGAATGTCTCTTAACATCAAGCCTCTTTACTTTTTCTTTTGTTTCTAATTTTTTCTTTGTTTTGATGAGTGGGCAGGTGTTCTTAGGGCATAGTGGGGGCCTTGATACAGATGGGAATGAGCTACCACGCCTTGTTTATGTTTCTCGTGAAAAGCGTCCAGGCTTCCAACATCACAAAAAAGCTGGAGCTATGAATGCTTTGGTTAGTGATCCCCATAGCTGTTGTGCACTTAGCAATCTTGTCCTGAACATGATTTGTAATAACAAAGTTGTCTGCCGATATAGATGGTGCAGTAACTTTGCACCTATATTATTGTAATACTACTTCTTAGACATGATCAGGTTATGCATATTAGGTACCATATGGGAATCCAATGTTGGTCTGATGGTTTGAATTGACTTTTTTAGTACCCATTATTGGATGGGACCTGTGGGACCACCAAAAAACAGATGCTTTTTAGCGTTTTCAGTTCCAGGTCTAGTTAAAGCTAGTTTCCTATTTTTAATGAGTTGCTCTTATTATTTTTGCGATTAATCACACTGCCACATCAATTGTACATAGGATGCTGGCTTAACTTACAATGAAAAACATGTGGATGATCCATGGAACCTTTTTTTTTTTTGGCAGTTGAATGTAAGCAGTTGCCTGTGCCCCATTCCCCTTAAATATAAACTTTAAAACCAATTTCATATCTCTCTTGCTAATCAACAAATTATTCTTTTGTTTGTGTTCTACAGATTCGAGTTTCTGCCGTCCTTACCAATGGTGCATATCTTTTGAATGTCGATTGTGATCACTACTTTAATAACAGTAAAGCTCTTAAAGAAGCTATGTGTTTTTTGATGGATCCTGCCCTTGGAAGGAAAACTTGTTATGTTCAGTTCCCCCAACGGTTTGATGGCATTGACTTGCATGATCGATATGCAAATCGCAATATTGTCTTCTTTGATGTAAGTTCACTTAATCTGACACCACCCTTGCAACTGTTCTGACTGCATTATTTTTTGTTATGCTTATAATTGAATTCATTTTTAACTTAAATGGATTTGCAGATCAACATGAAAGGGCAGGATGGCATTCAGGGTCCAGTCTACGTGGGAACTGGATGTTGTTTCAACAGGCAAGCTCTGTATGGGTATGATCCAGTCTTAACGGAGGCAGATTTGGAACCAAACATTATTGTCAAGAGTTGTTGTGGCTCAAGGAAAAAGGGAAGGAATGGCAACAAGAAGTACATTGATAAGAAGAGAGCAATTAAAAGAACTGAATCCACCATTCCCATTTTCAATATGGAAGATATTGATGAGGGTGTCGAAGGTAGGTTCTTGTAATAAGTTCACTTCTCTTTTGAATTAACAGAAGCTGCAAACCAATTAAATTCTATCAATTGGGCCGAAGACTTAAAATTACACATGCACCAACACACCTGCATCCACTCACCCGCACATTCACTGTTGAAAGGGCAGATAGATTTCGGATCAAGCTTTTGAATTTTTGTTCGTTATGATTCTTTTATTTGGAGGTTTTATTCACCACTTACTTGCAATATCTCCCAATCTATGAGGGTATGTTTATGTATACATGTATATTTAGATGCAACATTATGTTTTTGAGTAATGTTAACCATTTTTTACTAATTTCCACTGGAGGTTTTCCCTTCCAGTAATTCAACAAAAGCTTTCCAAAACATTGAAAATTTGTAACCTATTTCTATTTTTCCTAAGTTGAATTTTCAACCTATTTCAACGGTAAAGCTGATGTGGCACACTGGTCTCCGTGGACCAATGTATACTTAGGTGAGATATACTAACCACCAAGTCAATGCTCAGAATGGTACAGAAACAGAGCGATTGAGATATTTTCAGTGACTTGCTGCTTTCAGGCTATTTATGTTGAGTCCTTTCCTTGTATTTTACAGGATATGATGATGAGAAGTCGCTTCTTATGTCTCAGAAGAGCTTAGAAAAGCGGTTTGGTCAATCTCCGGTGTTTATTGCTGCCACCTTCATGGAGCAGGGAGGGATTCCACCAACAACTAATCCTGCAACTCTTTTAAAAGAAGCAATCCACGTTATTAGCTGTGGATATGAGGACAAGACTGAGTGGGGCAAAGAGGTATTGATGATACTAATGTGGCATCTAAACCTGTATTTGGTTTCTTTTACAAATTGTATTTGCAATTTGAAATTTGAATTGAGTGAGATTTTTCTTCACAATCAGATCGGTTGGATCTACGGTTCTGTGACTGAAGATATTTTGACTGGGTTTAAGATGCACGCACGGGGATGGATATCAATCTATTGCATGCCTCCCCGTCCAGCATTTAAGGGGTCTGCTCCCATCAATCTTTCTGATCGTTTGAACCAGGTCCTTCGATGGGCTTTGGGATCAATTGAAATTCTTCTGAGCAGGCATTGCCCAATATGGTATGGCTACACTGGAAGACTGAAGCTTTTGGAGAGGATCGCATACATTAACACCATTGTCTATCCCCTCACCTCTATTCCACTGCTTGCTTACTGCATACTTCCTGCTATCTGTCTTCTTACTGGAAAGTTTATCATTCCTCAGGTAAGTGATGAATTTCACATTGGTTGGTTGAAATGAATCTAGTGCATCTTTTAAGCATCAATCTATGGTTGGTCAGTTCAATTTCTCTGCTTACATGTGTATTCACTAGAACAGTGGATACTGTTTGGTAAGCCCCAAATTTTGGCCAAAGGCATGTAGTTTGGATCTAGCTGCCAGTGCATTTGGTAATCAGCTGGTCACCATATTCCAAATACCTGACTACAAGGACTGAAAATTTGTTAAAATGCAAAAGCTGTTCCTTTTTCTTCTTTTTCCTTTCTGTGGTCGGTTGAGAATATTCTGGATGTATGTAACTATTCACTTCTGTTTGATTTCTCCTTTTTTATTTCTTTTTATTAATTTCACGCCCCTATTTTTTATTTTAGTTCCTTGTTGGTCATCTCTGGTGCCCGCTAATCTCCTTTCANACTTTCCACTGGAGGTTTTCCCTTCCAGTAATTCAACAAAAGCTTTCCAAAACATTGAAAATTTGTAACCTATTTCTATTTTTCCTAAGTTGAATTTTCAACCTATTTCAACGGTAAAGCTGATGTGGCACACTGGTCTCCGTGGACCAATGTATACTTAGGTGAGATATACTAACCACCAAGTCAATGCTCAGAATGGTACAGAAACAGANACTATTCTATTTCTTGAATGAGATCAAGGGCATGTCAGTCCTTATTGGGCAATAGTGTAGGTTAGCTTGGAAATTGGAGACCTTGCGTTTGCTACTTTGCAGTCCTCACTAAATATGTTACAATTTCTCTGCAGATAAGCAACTTTGCTAGTATGTGGTTTATTCTTCTTNAGGCTATTTATGTTGAGTCCTTTCCTTGTATTTTACAGGATATGATGATGAGAAGTCGCTTCTTATGTCTCAGAAGAGCTTAGAAAAGCGGTTTGGTCAATCTCCGGTGTTTATTGCTGCCACCTTCATGGAGCAGGGAGGGATTCCACCAACAACTAATCCTGCAACTCTTTTAAAAGAAGCAATCCACGTTATTAGCTGTGGATATGAGGACAAGACTGAGTGGGGCAAAGAGGTATTGATGATACTAATGTGGCATCTAAACCTGTATTTNTGCGATTGCTACTTCGCAGTCCTCACTAAATATGTTACAATTTCTCTGCAGATAAGCAACTTTGCTAGTATGTGGTTTATTCTTCTCTTCATCTCTATTTTTGCTACCGGCATACTGGAGCTTAGGTGGAGTGGTGTGGGTATTGAAGACTGGTGGCGAAATGAACAGTTCTGGGTCATTGGTGGCACATCAGCCCATCTGTTTGCCGTCTTCCAAGGTCTATTGAAAGTGCTTGCCGGGATTGATACCAACTTCACCGTCACTTCAAAGGCATCTGATGAGGATGGAGAGTTTTCGGAGCTTTATGTATTCAAGTGGACATCTCTTCTCATCCCTCCAACCACAGTCCTTATTTTGAACTTGGTAGGTATGGTGGCTGGTGTTTCCTATGCCATAAACAGTGGATACCAGTCATGGGGTCCTCTGTTCGGCAGGTTGTTCTTCGCCCTTTGGGTTGTTGTCCACCTATATCCCTTCCTCAAAGGTTTGTTAGGCCGGCAAAATCGTACCCCTACCATTGTCATTGTCTGGTCTGTTCTCCTTGCTTCTATATTCTCCCTTCTATGGGTTCGAATTGATCCCTTTACCTCAGCCTCCACAAAAGCTGCTTCAAATGGTCAATGTGGCATCAACTGCTAGATCATTTGGACATCATGTTGAGGTAAGCTCTTCCCCACTTCTGATGCTTGCCCTTGTGTAAATAGACAAGAAATTCAGGTTTCAAAATCACATACAGGGTTTAAGTCATGTTGTACTATGTTCTGTGTCTGAAGGGGGGGAGTAGTACATGAAAACTCGAGAGATCTCTTTCTTTTGTTCCTTCATTTTGTTTGTATACTTTTGTTGGGTGTCATGGTAAAGTGTTCACATGGGTTCTTAATAGAATAGGTATGTGAACTGTGGCTTCATTTTGTTGTTATTGTGCTGTACTGTGATGATTTATTGTCAATGACATGTATGGAACCATTCATGGACGCTTTATTAATTTCAGAAACAGTGAAATAAATTATTATTTTGATCCACAACGTATTTTTGTGTAATTTTTTACCCCCCTAGTAGTAAGAACTTTGTGCGTGAGGGGTGGGGAAGTTTCGAAACCTAACCCGTGGATCTGGTAAGGATTGTCCTGGGCTGGCAATGGAGTTTGTGTACTTTGATTATAGACCCCCTCAATCTGATCCTATATGGCAGCAGAATTTTGTGTCTGGGGGACTAGTCTTGAGCTTGGGCATCATCTGTTTGGAGAAACAGTGGCTATTGTAAATTCAGATTGCCCAGCAAAACTGATGCTCATGCTATGGTCAGTTTTTCCAGGCAGAGGCCTAGACGAACTGGACAGCCGACTTAAAAGAGAATCTGAGTAATACTGCATACTAGGAATGGTGCCATGGCAACCGATACAATATGGAATTAACAAGTTTGGTTTTAGCCTTGATAAATAAGTGAATTTATTTAACAAGTCCATCAACTAAATTAGTCGATATATGATTCTCGCAAAAAAACAATATGAATTTGTTACATTTACATGACATTAACCCGATACAAGAATATTCATAGCCATTCCTAGTGAGGCTCCCCATGCCAGGCCCCCTTGCATTCGTCCATGTTACTAATATGTAAGTCACAACTGATAATATCAAAATTACAAGTAGACTAATGAATACCTGTCTTTTCTAGCCTTAGCCATTTATCGGGCAAAACCACTCATTCCTGTTAGGATTGAAAACCCAATACTAGGGAGAGGGTACATCAACAATAGAATAGAATTGTCAAGCTAATCAGAAAGTGTCAAGAGTTACTTGTGTTTCTTATGCAATAACCATAAATTGTATATAATGTTAAGAGTGTACATCAAATAATATAACTGTCAAGTTAATCAAAAAGTGTGTAGAGTTACTTATATTTAATTATTTATTATGTCACAATCATAAATTTAATCCGATAATGACCCCAACATATTCAAAATTTATTCAAATTGGCTCATAATATGTTTGAAAGTGTGACAGGAATTTCATATTCATTGAGGTATCTATACTAATTAGTTTGACAAAAAAATAATAGAGGGCGGGAATTATCAAATACGGTTATGAGATCGACATAATAAAGTACGAGGCATTTCTAGATTCTCCCGAGGCATGAAAATGACTTTCTCTTTTGCTGTTCAAATTTATCTAAATTCCTCAAAATTTGATTTGAAGGTTAATATTTTACCAAGTAATTTTTAGATTTTTACCCAAAATACCACGTCAACATTACTACCTAACGTAACCATCCCATAAAAAAACAAGAAAATAAATAAAGTAGACCCCATTGTCTTACATGGAGGTGGTCACATATAACATGGATGGATAGTTACTGAATTTTGTTGGACTTGCTTGTTTATTCATTTATTAGTGAACGGTTACACCACATGACATTATTGACGTGGTATAACCGTTACATCTAATATTTTCTCCACTTTTAGGTCCATTAAGGTTACATAAACATCTTCTGCACAACCTCCTCCTCTTAGACAAAATGATAAAGGAAAAGTCAGAGACCCATCTACAAAAACTTTGTATAGGAATCCACAAAGAAAATTCCTTTTGGGCTTGACTTAAGGAAACTTCATTTTGTGGTGCTATGTAACCAATTGCTACAATCTCCCATAAGTCTTGAGATCCAAGAATTGCCTTTATGCGGATACACCAATTCTCATAGTTATCTTTGGTGAATGGAGGCATTTGAAATAGAAACATTCCATTTGTCATCTCTCATACTTTTTTCTTTTTCAACACTCATACCTAGTTCTGGTACCACTTTGTTAGAATCTAGAGGACTATTACACACTCACTAAAAAATATAATAGAAGAGACTATTAAACATAGGAAGAACTCTTTCTATTTATCCATATCCAAGTGGATGTATTATATAAGATATACATGGTTTTAGGTTTTCAATCAAGGTGTGTGCTCTGTCTTTTTCTTCTATTATATTAGCAACATTTCCAAACCACCTTAAACCCATTCCATATCTCAACAAATACTCGACTGGAATATCATGATCTTCTGGGAGTAGACAACACAGTATGAAACAGTTTTTGAGTTCTTCACNATCATAAATTTAATCCGATAATGACCCCAACATATTCAAAATTTATTCAAATTGGCTGATAATATGTTTGAAAGTGTGATAGGAATTTCATATTCATTGAGGTATCTATACTAATTAGTTTGACAAAAAAATAATAGAGGGCGGGACTTATCAAATATGGTTATGAGATCGATATAATAAAGTACGAGGCATTTCTAGATTCTCGCAAGGCATGAAAATGACTTTCTCTTTTGCTGTTCAAATTTATCTAAATTTCTCAAAATTTGATTCGAAGGTTAATATTTATTGAATAATTTTCAGATTTTTACCCAAAATACCACGTCAACATTGCTACCTAACATAACCATCCCATAAAAAAACAAGAAAATAAATAAAATAGACCCCATTGTATTACACAGAGGTGGTCACATATAACATGGATGGATAGTTACTGAATTTTGTTGGACTTGCTTNGACATTAACCCGATACAAGAATATTCATAGCCATTCCTAGTGAGGCTCCCCATGCCTAACGTAAACATTACTACCTAACGTAACCATCTCATAAAAAAACAAGAAAATAAATAAAGTAGACCCCATTGTATTACACGGAGGTGGTCACATATAACATGGATGGATAGTTACTAAATTTTGTTGGACTTGCTTGTTTATTCATTTATTAGTGAACGGTTACACCACATGACATTGTTGACGTGGTATAACCGTTACATCTAATATTTTCTCCACTTTTAGGTCCATTAAGGTTACATAAACATCTTCTGCACAACCTCCTCCTCTTAGACAAAATGATCAAGGAAAACTTAGAGACCCATCTACAAAAACTTCGTATAGGAATCCACAAAGAAAATTCCTTTTGGGCTTGACTTAAGGAAGCTTCATTTTGCGATGCTATGCAACCAATTGTTACAATCTCCCATAAGCCTTGAGATCCAAGAATTGCCTTTATGCGGATACACCAATTCTCATAGTTATCTTTGGTGAATGGAGGCATTTGAAATAGAAACATTCCATTTGTCATCTCTCATACTTTTTTCTTTTTCAACACTCATACCTAGTTCTGGTACCACTTTGTTAGAATCTAGAGGACTATTACACACTCACTAAAAAATATAATAGAAGAGACTATTAAAAATAGGAAGAACTCTTTCTATTTATCCATATCCAAGTGGATGTATTATATAAGATATACATGGTTTTAGGTTTTCAATCAAGGTGTGTGCTCTGTCTTTTTCTTCTATTATATTAGCAACATTTCCAAACCACCTTAAACCCATTCCATATCTCAACAAATACTCGACTGGAATATCATGATCTTCTGGGAGTAG